AGAATTAAAACTGATTTTAACCAAAAACAAATACTCAATCAAACAATTAAGAGCAAGTATCCCTAATTTCTAGCACAAACAATGGTTGCCAAGCAGTGACAACCTCCAAACCTAATGATCACCCCACACGATGATCTGTTAGTGCAAAAATATAAAGGTTTTAGCCAATTTACCAGAGCGGACCTATCTGAGTCCGTAACGTGGAGAGATGCGAATTTGCTACTTTAGGGCCACCACTATTCACCCTAAAGATTCAGCAAATATAGCAATTCTGATCAGCAACAAATGCAGACTGAAGGTAGGGGCAAAATTGTCCAGTCTTTTCTGCACAACCTGAAACACTAAACCAAACACATTAGTACGTTCAGGAAATCAAAATAAGTGAAATGGCACGAAAAAACCACGCAGGAGCTCCTCTACACGCCGCCGCGCCGATCGTCATCGCCATGCGCCTCACCACCGGAGGCGCCTCCACCTGCTGGTTATGGGTCTGGCCTCCGTTCGTCCAACAGATGTCGCGTTTGGTCGGACTAAGTAGTTGCAAGTTCGGCCCCTTTTGAAAATTGCGAACCCGTCACCAATTATGGTCGATTTCTTGCTAGAGAAGATGACCTTCGCTCTGATACCAGATGTGAGACCAAAATCCAGCAATACCCAAGGTGATACCAGGCTCAATTTCCACCAAAGTTGACACCACCACTATTGAGACACACCCAAATCTCTCTTTTCTTCTTCCCACCTACGGTTGCTATTCATACCCACAAAGAGTCGGCCAAGATGAGATCAATATAGCACAAGAGAAACCATACAAGTTGCTTTAGAGAAAGAGGCCGAGAGTTAGAAGAGAAGAACTCACAGAGAAGAGTAAAGAAGACCACTATTCGGAGGCGTGAAGGGAGCCGAGAATTATAGCCCAAAGGTGTGACCATATATGGTAAGTTAGGGTAGGTTAACTTAGTGGTCCAAAAGAGGCTTAACACAAAAGTATTGGGCTCCAAATGGATATCGTAGCCATCCAAGCAAATGGGACGGGCCACGAGCAACATTATTAAAATAGGTTGCTTCTAATGGCCTGTAGAAAATCGGATTGAGTTGTCTTGATCGTAGTGTCGACATATAGTTCAATCATATGGCCAAGGCCGATTGATAATAAATAAAACTGAGGTCACATCATTGCCCGGGAGGTCGTTTGACAACAAATTGCCTAACACTACTAACATTAAATTATTTTGTAAATGAGTGCCTTTATTTTATGTACAACATGCTCTAGCCATTAACTCTCAAATTACTTGTTTGCTTATATCTTCATTTCCCATCTTATCCATTACAGTGTGGCCACACCTCCATTTTGACATCCTTATTTGTGGTGTGTTTTTATAAATGGCATTTTTTCTTTCAACGGCCCAACAGACTGTCATAAAATGTCACTGATCTAATAATCATTCGATGGAACTTTCCCCCTAACAATAGGTTTGTCTATAGCATGTATAATTGTTCGCGAAATTATTCCTTTCGACTTTAAACTACCGCAAGTGTACGGTTCGTTAACAAGTAATAAAGTGGAATCAATGAGTCCGAATATCGTCCCTCAGATATTGATTAGTTTAAATTTTATCTAACGTGGCCTCAACTGAAACTGGATTGCCAAAGTGGATGTACATCTAAGTAAAACCCTAATTTCAAAAAGAAATCCTAATTACGTAAATTTAATGAGTAAATTGAAATTAAAACTCAAAACAATATTTTAACGCTCTAGAATAAAACTAAATGTTGAGAACGGACGTTGTTATAATCAATAGAAATTAAACACACTAGGATCACGATTTTCCATGCAATTATCACTTTAAACCCTAGTTTCACAATATGATAGCACACTTCAATTGTGACGAATCAATGTTCCTAAACTTATCCAATACTCTCTCTCGAGATGTATCAAACTTATTTCTACATACCATCGGCCTATATTTCTATGATAAGAGCATATGTAAAAATGCATGCGATTTTATGAACACTTAAAGATTCGCGTAGGGTATAGCGGCATATTTCTATTCCCTATCGGACCCTACGATGATTTATATTATGTCAAATCTATTCCAATTCTCTTGAATGCAAGAATAAATCACCCAAATTCACACAATTACGAGCCCTTAATTGTGGAAACATTAATTGCATATAAATCATTTAAAACAATAAAAATGTGTCTTAATGTCAAATTACAAAACTAGGATATTAAAATTCAAATTACTTGGTTCATCGATCTTCTAGCATATGAAAATCTAGCCTAGCATGATTAAAATAACAAAATATATTAGGTTTTGAGTAATAAGCATCACCGGATTATAAAAGCTTGAAGAAATCTTGAAATTTCAATAGTCAATCTTCGTTTCTTGCGCTCCAAATCCTCTTCAAGAAGTATTTTACTGTCTCCCAATGCGTTCTAGTCGTTTCTGGACGTTTCTTGATATTTATATCCTGTGAATATTAGGTTACCAAAGGAGTTTTAATCGTATAAGGAAAGAAAATTTCGTATCGGAAAGATTACCATGCGACCGCATGGTTTTAATCCGTGCGGCCGCATGGTTATTCCATGTTTCGATTTAAATTCCCTGCATTCATTCGTGCGGGCGCACGGGAGTTCTACCATGCAGCCGCATGGTAGACTATAACTTCTATTATCTTCAATTTAGTCCCTTTATTTGAATCTTTCACTTCTAGGCCTCTTTTCTTCCCTCTTTCCATTCCATCACCCCTAGACATCATCAATTGGCATTTGGTTCAATCAATTCCTTGAATTGTTAATCGGGTCAATTTTTGGGTAATTGCACCTTGGTCCTTTAACTTTCATTTTGTGTCATTTTAGTCCCTTTTCGCATCTTTTCCCATGAATTTCACCATGTTCATCGGTGTTCCCTACAATTCACAAATGTAAAGAAATTAAGTCACAATTCAATCATTTTGCTTGTAATTAAGTCATATTTGTGATCTAAATAAGTGTGCATAAACACATTTATCAATAATCCTGGTAGTTTTTCTCTATTTTATTGAAGCTGCTATAATATGCTGCATTACCTTGTGTCAAAGTCCTTAATCTTTGTTATTAATCAAACTTAAAAATCTAAACAGTGTGTGCGCGTGTGTGTATATATTGATTCTAGATTTTCCTGGCTAAAGCGGGCAGGCTGGGTCGTGTTCATAACTTTCTTTATTCCTACTATAATTAATTTTTTTGAGCGTATTATGTCTCACTTCTAAATAATCTGAAATCTCTAGATTCTATAGTGCAAGATCTCATAATCGCGTCTGTTCCCTTGTACATATGATTAATATATATCTTATAAAATTTTCTCCACTAACCATAAACACTTTTCTTGGAGCCCTATTAGATATTTCGTTTTTAAAATTAATAAAAGATCATAAAACCAGATTGTTTCTTGAACATCTTTGAGTTACACCTTATTCTGCATTATATTACCTCTCTTTAATTTTTAATTATGATTCATGAGCTCCTTTACTATTACAGATAGAGACCGTACTTGATCTTTTCCATTTGTTAGTAATTTTCTGGCCTTTAAATTGTCTCGTTCATCACTGTGAATTGAATCCATTAACTATATGACAATGCCGGATGAGCATCTCCACTACAATAGTCTTCTAGATGCAACAGCAAAGGTAGATTATAACCTGAGTTCATTATCTAAAAAAGAAGATACTGCAATGTATCCAATTATGCCTCCACCTTACTGCTTGAAGATTTCCCAATTGTCTTCCATTTCCTGACTCAGTTGCGAATTGAACATAGACTTACTGAGATGTCATGCTCATTCTGTAGTTAAATAACGCTGATTGTGCTAATGACCGTTTTTCTGTTTGTTATGGCAGCTATTCCTAAAAATGTATCCTGGTGAAGAATTTTTCCCGATGATGAACCCATCCGACGAGTTCACAGATGATGCTGCGTCTGAGTTGGAAACTTAGAGAAATAAGTGGTTCTAATTTGCCGGTTGAATATTTTCAATGTTCTCCCATGGGAGAGGAGCAGTGTTTCGAATGTAGTAGCATCATGGTGAAAGATGAACTTGCTTTCGTCCATCGGCTCTAGGTACATATGCAGAGTTAATCATCAGCTTGAGGAATTAAATCAATTTCAGTTTTCATCACATCTGATGTTTATCTAGCAATGGAGTTTCATATATCATATGCTTCGTAAACCGGACAGTTATCATGGAGGATTCTTCCGAAACTTGGCACGGTTTGTTAGACAAATTGTTGGTCGTGTCCTTTCTAGATAAACTAAAAGCTCTTTATACTCGGACAAGGTTGAGCCCGATAATTTTTGAAGATCGAAGTTCTGTTCAAGGTAGACTAGTTTACAGCTTGCATCCTTTCCTTACAAAAAGAGCTTAGATTCACTTGATTTTCTCCCTTTGCAAGCACGGTTTTATGTCAATCTTATAGAGACTGGAAACTATCATATGTCAAAAATATCATTTGATCCTTTTGAGCATCTTCCTATAGTTGATTGTGGTCGATTTGGATTTTGGTTAGGCCTAGTGACTCCTCGATCTATTTATTGCCTTGAGGAATGCTCATATACCGGGCTTTCCATTACGAATATAACTGTCCAACCAAATGCCTACTAGCCATATGAAGCTTTTCAATACCAATATAACTGTCCAACAACAAATGCCTAGCTACATGAACTGCATTCCCTCATAGGAGAGAAGCTTCGGTTGGACATTCTTATATGTATATATGGTCGTGGAATTCATCCGTGCCAATCTAATAGGAGATCTAAAATAGCTAGGTATTTGACAAATTCAATATACCATGTTAATTTTGGTCTACCCCTCCCTTTTCTATGTGACTAATGCTATTTCTAGTCGCTTATTGTCGTTGTCACCCTATATGACATATATGTGGCGGTAAGTGATTTAATGCATTAATGTAGTAATTTTTTATTACTTTATGCATCAAATCACTTACTATCATATGTACATCATTTAAGGTGACTGCGCTAATGAACGACTGCAAATAACATTATTTTTTCTATGTTGCTCCATTGAAATCACAACACATTAATCCTTTTTAGGTCAATGCAACCTTGAATTATCTCAATTGACATTATCCGCGCCATTGATGTATATAATCATTTTCTATCTTATTTATTTTAGCCCCGGTTTGATTCTCATTATTTTCAAATGTGCTTTTCTTTCTTTTATTTTCAACCACACGTTCTTCAATAAAATAATATTACACGCAAATTCAAAACTTTTTCTTATGTTTTAACCACACATTCTCCATCAAATCACTATTACAAAATGAATTTTTGACAATTAATGGGAATCAAATAGGCCCTTAGTATGATTGCATATCCATCTTAACATCTTCATTTCTGCTACATTCATCTTATGGACAACTTGTCCTTTAACAACCGAACACTCAGAAATATAAAAACTTAGCCGGTCAATACAATGATTTCTCTCTCACACACATTCACCTCTGGATAATAAACTTACAATTCAAGCCATTTTCTCCTGTTTCACCATTTTCTCGTACTGCACTATCCTTGCTGAAATATGAAATAAAAAAAACTATCAATTTTGGCTTATGATGATCCTCTAACAGCCAAGTCAATTTATCTTGAGGCGGGCACCAAGTTTGACAATTGCAAGATAAAATAACCAGCATTCATTCTTAGTAGATTGAACTGTCTTCATCTCCACTAACTCTTAATCTGATGAATCTTCCAAGACAAGTATATAGAAACCATGTCTTACATTAACCAGCTGCTTCCCAGATTCTTCTTTCCTCCAACATTCACCAATTTTTGCCTCAGCTTGGAAGCTTCTTCCCATTTTCCTTCCCTCGAGTATAGATTGGACAGCAGAACATACGAAGAATGGTCCGTGGGATCAAATTGCATCACCTTCGTCGCACACTTTTCTGCCAATTTTGTATTTTCGTAATTCCTGCAAGCACTCAGCAAAGTCTTCCAAGCCAAAACACTTCCGTCATTTTCTATTATGCAGTATGCTTCTTCTAGACGTCCAGCGCGGCCAAGTACATCAACCAAGCAGGCAAAATGCTCAGGTTCTGGTTCAATATTATACTTTTGGCACATGATATTGAAAAAAGCTAAACTATTTTCTACTAGACCCATATGGCTGCAACCTGATAAAAGGGCTAAAAAGGTGACACCATTAGGGACTATGCCCATCTTCTCCATCTCTCCATATAGTTCAATTGCCTTGGCAGCATTTCCTTGCCGTGCGAATCCAGATATCATAGTATTAAATGACACTACATTAGGTTCTTGTAGCTCTTTAAAAGCTTTTTGGGAGGCCTCCACGTTTCCACATTTAGCATACATATCAACAATGGAGCTCCCAACAAAGATATCTCCTTCTAAACCTAACTTGACAAAGAATGAGTGAAATTGTTTACCCAAATCAATGGCTGCAAGCTTTGCAGAGGCAGCTATGCATAATGGAAGGCTAAAGCTGGTCAAATAAATTCCTTCTGCCAACATCTCTTTGCAGAGATTCACAGCTTCCAGTTCAAACCCATTCTGCAAGTGACTTCCAATTATAGAACTCCATGAGATTTCATCTTTGTTGACAATGTCATCAAAAGCCTTGTAAGCATCAAGAATGGACCCACAATTGGAATACATGATGATTACTGCATTACCTATGGAAGTTTCACAACCTACTCGTCTTTTCATAATCAGGCCATGGATTTGAATACCCACTGCTAAATCTAAAACACTCTGACACGACGCTATGAGAGCTACTAGAGTTGCCATATCAGGTCTCACCGTACTGGTTTGACAAAGTTCTCGAAAAAGACTGATAGAGTAAAAGGTTGCTAGCTCTTCCTTTTGAGCATAACACATAAGTATGCAATTCCAAGCCACAATGTCTTTATTCTCAATCCTCCTGAACAGCTTTTCCACACTGCCAAGTTCTTCGGCATTGGCATAAATAGACATCAGTGCACTTCCAACAAAACAGTCAGCTTGATATGCATTCTTTATCATCTGGGCATGAACTTGAATTCCAGATTCTAAATTGCGGGCCTCTGCGCAAGCTCTCAAGACACTGGACAAGACATGTTGATCAGGTTTCACACCTTGCCTACACATATGTAAGAACAATGTAACAGCTTGCTCTGGAGAGCCATTCCTCACATAACTAGCTATTATTGAACTCCAACTAAATATATCTTTAACCTCCATCGAGTCGAACACTTTTCTTCCCGTATCTAACTTCCCACACTTTCCATACATATCCACCAAACCGCTCCCCACCACTACATCACTTTCCATACCATACTTCATAGCCAGCCCATGAATTTGGTCCACCTCAATAATCAAAGAACAGCACTTGAGCAAACTTGTTAAGGTATAATCATTGGGCCTCAACTCATCAGCCACTCTCATCTCGCGGAACAACCTCAAAACCTCGCCAACATCGCTAACGTCAGCAAGCCCAGAGATCAAAACATTCCATGTAACCCGATCCCTCCTCCACAACCCATCAAAAACACGAAATGCCTCGTCCATATTATTCCAAACTTTCAAGTAAAAATCCACAAGAGCACTCCCCAAGAACTCATCCTTTTCGAAACCAAACTTGATTACCAGACAGTGAATCTGAATGCCCAACACAGACAAACAAGAAGTCGTGCATTCGTGAATCATAAATGAAAATGTATGCGTGTTTGGTTTCACGGTGGATTCTAACATTTCAGTGAACAATGCAACCGACGTTCTCAAAAACCCATGAAGGGCGTAGGACGAAATCAACGACGTCCACGAGACAACGTTTTTATGAGGCATTTGATCAAACACCCGACGGGCACTGCACAAATCATTGCATTGCGAGTAGAAATGGAGTAAAATGTTGAAAATGTGGATTTGTAAGGGGATTTGGTTCGAGCGTATGAGTTTTGCATGGATTTGTTTACACTCTTCAATTGATTTTCTGGGTTTTAAATGGTGATGGAGTAGGAGTTGTATGGGGTCCGATAAGAGTTTTCTTGTTGACTGGCGGTGCATTTTTGAGGTTTCATTTCATGCCAGTTAACCGTTACAAGATCTCTCGCTGCTTGCGAACGATCAAAAATCAGTCAAAATTATGAAATCCTGAACGCTGATGATGCGGGGGGTTGCTTTCAGTTTCAGTCCTAGACTATTGCGCATCCTTTTCTCAATTTGATATTTTCTCTACTCTCCTCAAACCTGTGATCGTTGACTTCCTAACTGTTATGTGTCTTTGAATTTTGACGTTTCATTAGCCTCGAGAAAATGAAAACAATGTCAACAATTTATTGATGAATTTTGCTGGGTTAATCCCTACCAACACTCGTACCAGGTGGGATGCGGGATCCATCTGTATAGAAAATTACCAAAATCCCCACGCACCCCTTTGTTATGAGTGTTTGGTACAAGTTTTGTACGTGAAGCAGCACTCTTTGTTGATTTCCAACAACATCTAAAAGGATTGTCAAATTAAAATAAAATACAAACGAAACAACATAATTACCCACATATAACTTCACAAGATTTTAAGATTTGATGCAACTCGAATTGAATATCTACTAAGTTTGTCTACTTAAGAGCATATCCAAGAGACACTTTATTTTTAAAGAGAATATTTTAAAATTTAAAGAGTATTTATAAATTTAAAGAGCAAAATTTTTAAAGTGCTCCAATAATTTCTTTATTTTTAATATTTAATTTTAGCATTCTCAATATGTATTTATTGTTTTTAAAATTTAATTTTAAAGTGCTCCAATAGCCTTGCCAGTCAATGAAAAGATATTGAGATTTGCACATATTATTTAATTAAGTCAATAAATTATAAATGAAAGTTGAAACCTCTAAAGCATTAAATTATAGAGAGGTAGGTTTGGCTCTCTAAATTTGAAGAGCTAAACTCACTCTCTATTTTAAAATGTTAAATTGAAGAGTCTATTGAAATAAAATTTTAAAGATTGACTTTTTAAAATGGAGAGTATTCCACTTTTAAAAAGACTTTTGGAGTTGCTCTAAAGAACGTTAGTATTCATTTAAAAACACTACACCACTCTAATTGAATGTATGTCAGTCTAGAAGTCATTGGAAGGCATTCATAGACCCTACATCACTCAACTCATTTTCAACATGGAACCAGTAACTAAAAGAATGCTTGAACGTGAAAGCACACTTGAATGTGAGACAAAATTCTAACGTAGATACAACAATAACTAGTTGAATTAATCTATTTGTATAATTGTGGTTAACAATGATAGATGACAACATTGATGTTGTCAAAATCTGGACCATTAATTTTAAAAACAGTTTTTGAAATGGATGGATGTAATGTTGTTAAGTATGATTATCAACCAAATTTTTTTAATAATTTACAAGTAACATGATTGATAACTAGTTGCTGGTTTTAGATTAAATCACGGGAAAATTGATTTCTCTTTGAAAATTAGACACAAATAGATTACAGAACTTAAATCTTTGAGATTATTATATTTTGCTTTTAAATCTTCACACATAAGGATGAGATTTTAACTTTAGAAGGGGTTTTAATGGCCTTCTACCTTTCTTGTCAAAGCTATCTATCTTAAATCTTAAATCTTTCATCTTGTTCCCTACCTTTAGGTGCCTCACTTTTGGGAAAAAAATGAGAGAATGTGGCTAACCCTGATTTTGAGAAATGTGCCCATAAATGGTATATTGATAACACTCTCATAATTGCACAACTTTCCTTGGATTTTATTGAATAGGCTAATTAAATCTCACACATATTAGAGTCAAGAAATGGACCTGATTGGACTCATAAGATTCAAGCTCCAATAGATGTTTCTAATTGTTTAAACTCTTAACCAATTAAGACACATTTATTAACCTTGGCTTATTCTACCAAAAAGTCGAAATTGTTCTGTCGAAATTGTTCTCGAGTCGAGTGATAGATATGAAAGCAAATTATGATCCGATAACAGTATCTTCTGATAATCATTTCACAAAGCAACTTTCATTTGATCATCAATATGTTCAAACTGACAAGCGACCATTTTCCTCTTTCAACATATAGCCCTCCCAAGTTTCATTTTCATAAGGCAAATCCGTTGTAAACAAATCACAACATAAAGTCCAACTATCCCATCATTGGACTACTAAGCTCAGGTTCAAATTCCTTCAGAAAATGCCTCTAAATGATTATCATCTCATTGGATGATTAACATGTCCCATTATTGCAAGTATATAATCCGTAATTATTTCGCCCTGATTTTTAAAGTACCGAGATCCATCTTCCAATTAAGACTTCACTGATTGGTACCTCAAGAACTTGAACTAGCAATTGGAGTTACAATAATTGCTTATGATTTAGATTATTGTAACAAATTAAAACATGCGAATAATCGAGTATCAATTCAAAATTTTGTTTACAAAATATTACTTGAAGAGCATCAAACTAACACTAGTATGCCCTATGAGACAAAATACCCAACCTTCAAACAAAAATGCGAAGGTTCACTAATTAACTGCTTATTAAAATAAAAAAAATATAAAAGAAAACATGTTTGATAATTACGTTATGGTTGCATTCAACGTAATTTTGTCTGATTGGACGTACTAGCTGAGGTTAACGTAAAATTTTAAGTTAACGTTTGTAGCTGAGTGATCATTACAAAGTTGAGTGATTATTACAATAACAAAACTACTTCAATGACCATTTTGAAATTTTCACAAACTTCATTAGATGTTGCTAAAATTTATCAACTTGTTTCTGATTTTACACGATTTTTTACTCAAACTATGCAAACAGTGACGCGAATTGTAAGAGCATATCCTGATATTAATGCCGATCGTATAAAAAATTGTACATAAGAAAAGTGATGTCTGCAAAATTTCTTCTCAATTTAATCTAAGTGGGACCTTGTCTAGATGACGTGATAAGAAAAATGGTGAAGAAGTTAATCTAGACATAGAGACTCTGTTAGATGGAGCTCACGTTACATAATTTTTTTCCCTCTTGTTTATTATTTTCTCTCTTATTAGATATGCATTGGATATTAAATTTTAGTTATAGATAAAATTCATTGGACATGGAATTTGAACTCAATCTTGAATTGGTTATACATCAATACCAAGTAAATCCTTCCATTCGCTCATATAATGACAATACAAATAATGCATTGAAGACACTACACAAGCCATGAGAATGGTGACTGTTGACCTCGGAAATTGGTCCCTCCACGTGGTCAACTGAAAGCTACTCCACGTATTCCTCCCTGCGCAATCAACAAATAGTCAGGCGCACACGGCCTGAACCAACGGGGGTGGTGGCGACCGTATACACTTCGACGGTCAAGTCAAGTTTGGGTGGTCGGAACAGTACCCAGGGGCTACACAAATCAATCAATAAAGGGGGAGGAGAATGTATAAACTTGTTATGGAGTGTTGTGTATTAAGAGTTTCATTACCTTTTGCCTCTTGCCAAACCTTGGGTATTTATAGGTGGTATGAACCGTTGGATGTGGAACGTGTGTATACATCTGACGGTATGAAATGTCTGCTTATAGGCGTCAATCAGCCGCGTTTGTAGAGGAGGCGGACAGTTTGTTTCCTTTGAGTTGAATTGATATAAAGTTGATAAGTCACATCAACTAGCCTCATGGAGACGTCAAATCAATTTAAGCCTTAGGTGTAGGACAAATCTCAAATTGACGGCGGATCTTCTAACCGGGTTCCACTTGATCTCGACCCAGGAGAGGTGAGATGCTTCGGCAGATCAGTAGTAGGAATTGCTATATCACTTCGGAGAAGCTTCGGAAGGGTCGTTTTCAGGTCGGAATAAATGGTGCTGCGGAGGGCCTCGGAGGTGAGATGACACTTCGGTATAGAGGCGTAAATAATCGGGGCGTAACAGTGGTCCCCTAAGTCAGGGGATGAATATTTATATCATGCGTGGATTTGCTTTCCTGACTGGACCGCAAGTCATGGGAGTTTTGGGGGTTGATCTGTCGCAGCAATCGAGGTTATGATAATAGGCAGATGTGCCAAAGCTTCGTTATTGTGCGTAACGTTCGAGGCAGTCAAGCAGCATGGGACGTCGCGTAAGGTGCATCAAAACTTCACGAATGCCTAAAACTTTTTAAAGCATGGGAGGGAACGCGGCATCCGAGGCGATGACCTAATAGGGCCTTCGCGTTAGGCGCGTCCAAGCTTTGTAAAATTGGAGGAGGAGCTCATCTGCCACCGGTGCGCTGACCCAAAAGGTCGACGCGTTGGGAGATGGCTGAAACTTTGTAAAGCATGGGAGGGAACGCAGCGTCCGAGGTGATGACCCAATAGGGCCTTCGCGTCAGGTGCGTCCAAGCTTTGTAAAGTTGGAGGAGGAGCTCATCTGCCACCGGTGCGCTGACCCAAAAGGTCGACTCGTTGGGGATGGTTGAAACTTTGTAAAGCATGCGAGAGAACGCGACATCCGAGGTGATGACCCAATAGGGCCTTCGCCTCAGGTGCGTCCAAACTTTGTAAAGTTGGAGGAGGAGCTCATTTGCCACCGGTGCGCTGACCCAAAAGGTCGACGCGTGGGGAGATGGCTGAAACTTTGTAAAGCATGGGAGGGAACGCAGCGTCCGAGGCGATGACCTAATAGGGCCTTCGCGTCAGGTGCGTCCAAGCTTTGTAAAGTTGGAGGAGGAGCTCATCTGCCACCGGTGCGCTGACCCAAAAGGTTGACGCGT